CCCCTTGTGATCCAGTAATTGTTTATCTCTTTTTGTCAGCTTCTTTGTTCTCTATCATTTGGTCTTCTAGATCACTAATTCTGTCTTCTGCCTCATTTATCCTAGCATTTAGAATCTGCATATTTTTGTTGCATCTCATTAATAGCCTTTTTGATTTCAACTTAATTAGATTTTAGTTCTTTTATTTCTCCAGAAGGGGATTCTCCAGTGTCTTCTATGCTTTTTTCAAGTCCAGCTAGTGTTTTTATAATTGTTATTCTGGACTCTAGTTCTGACATCTTACTTATGTCCATACTGATTAGCTCCCTGGCAGTCATTACTGCCTTTTGTTCTCTTTTTTGAATTGAGCTTTTCCCATATTGTTATTCTGTCCAGAGAAGAATAGATGAACAAGAGAACAAAATACTAAAATGGCAACAGTGATCTCAGAGAAATATATACTAATCAAATTGAAAGAGAGCTGAAACCAGAAGAAAGAAAGAAAAAGGAAGGAAAAAAGAATATAATCAGACAGGTTTGCAAAATAGAGCAATACACTGGATCCTGTGTGTATTTTGGTCTGTTAGAAAACTAGATCTCAAAATTGTAAAGAAAGACAAACTTAAATAGGTACAAAAATAAAATTGAATAGAATGAAAGGATAGAATGTAACTGTGAAAATGAAAATTAAAAGGTAAGCAGAAACAAGAGAAAAAATACCATCAACAAAAAAAGAAGGGATATAAACAGGTGAATGGAACAGAGCAATACACTATATCCTGAGTGTATTTTGGTTAGTTTGTTATAAGAAAGTACATCTCAAAATTGTAAAGAAAAACTTAATATATATCAAAATAAAATTAAATAGATTGAAAGGATAAATTGTAAACTGTGAAAATGAAAAATAAAAAAGAGTTCTAACAAAATGAAACAATACCAAAAAGAAACAATAAAAAAAAAAAGAAAAAAAAAGAATATGATCAGACAGGTGAATAGAACAGAGCCATACACTAGATTTGGGGTGTATTTTGCTCTGTTAGAAGGCACTGCATCCCAAAATTGTAAGGAAGAAAAATACATATACACAAAATAAAATTAAATACAAAGAAGGGATAAAATGTAACTGTAAAAATGAAAATTAAAAAAGATTTTTTTAAGATTTATTTATCAGATAGAGTGTGTGCGGGCACACGCAGAAGCAGGGGGAGAGGAAGGCAGAGGGAAAAGCAGGCTCCATGCCAAGCAAGCAGCCCCATGTGGGACTTGATCCCAGGTTCCTGGGATCATGACCTGAGCCAAAGCCAGATGCCCAACTGACTGAGCCACCCAGGCGTCTCTTTTATAAAAAGATTTTTAAAAAAGTTGATAAAATAAGAAATTTGTTGAAAAAGGAAAGAGAAAAAAATTAAAAAAAATTAGAACTG